GATGGGGATGGTGGTGGAGATGATGGAGATGGGGATGATAGTGATGGTAGAGATGGAAATGATGGTGGGGATGGTGATGGTGGTAACGGGGATGTTGGAGGAGGGAGGGATGTGTGCACTCACACTTGTGTGGCTGTGGCCTGAATGCCCCCATGGGTGACCAGGGTCCAGTAGCCCCCAGTGCTGGAATAGAAGGTGCACTTCTTTGTCTCCTGGTCAATTTGCATCAGGAAGGTCTCATGGTCTAGTTCATCATCCTGATTGGCTGAGACGTTGACCCCTGGAGGGAGGAGATGGGGAAGCCCCTCACGCCTCTCCTGGGTAGGGAGCAGGGGATGGGGGCATGCTTTTGGGGGCACCCCTGAAGCCAGAGGGGTCTCATCTAGAAATCTCTTGACTTGAGAAGATTTGGAAGGCACCTCTCAGAGAGCCTGGGAACCCTGCCCCAGGGCCATGTGTGCCGTCTGTGGACCCTGCACACTGTCCCCAAGGGAGCTGTGACCTCCCTCCACACCCCCAGGAGCCAGGCCCTTCTGCTTGGCACAGCCCCCACTCTGCTAATCAGTAATCAGCTGGTAATCTCCTTGCCCTGCTCTCTTGACCCAGGGCTTACACCAGCCTCTATTTATAATTCACCCTAAGCTGCTGGGTGGGCACAGGCAGGACCTAACGATGGGGATGGTGGGGATGGGGATGGTGATGGGGGCACCCCTGGGCACCAGGCAGGGGCTGGTCCCTGTCACCTCTGCAGAAGCCCCAACCATCTGTGCTTGGTCTCCCGGGACCCCTGGGGGAGGACAAGACTGCCCTGGGCTCCATCTGGGGTTCCTGCGAGGGGCTGGAGAGGCACCCATGCCCAGCATGGGGACAGCAGACACCAGAGCCTCCCCAGGATCTTCTGTGAACTGAGTCCCTGGCTCCTCCCACAAGCCACCTCCCTGTTTCCATGGCAACTGGCCACTGGGAGTGATGTATCAAATTGCAGAGCCCCCAACGAGGCCCAAGGACTCTGGTGGCCTGTCTAGCTGGGGACTGGGAGGGAGTGGTGGGCAGAGCGCCACAGGGCCTGAGGGTGGGGCCAGATCCCATCCCACTCTGTCCCCAGGGGAGAGGGCACCAGGCTATGACTGTGCCAGAGAGCTTGGGACCTGTTCCCTTCTGAGAGCCCCAAAGCTGCCCCTCACACCCCAGGCTGGGGTCTCTCTCACATTCACCACTGATCAGATGCAGAGGAGCGCCCAGCATGTCCCCTGCACTGTGGCCAAGCATTCGTGCCAGCACCCCACTGCCACCAGCTCTAGATCCTGGCAAATACTGAGCTAAGAGCAGCTGTCTGGGCCCAGTGGAGGGCAACACTGACATGGTGCCCGGGGGTAGCAGGACCCCTCAGGAGGAGGGGCCCATGAGGGGCGTGGGAACGCCGTCCCTGCGGGCACTGAAGGAAGAGTAGGGATAAAGCCACAGCATCGCAGGGCTGCCCCCACCACCGTGCCTCCTGGACCAGCACTTTGGTGTCCCTAGTGTTGCCCCCACACCTCCTTCAGACAGAATGCTGTCTGGGGCTGCCTTATTCAGCCATCTGCTTCTAGAGAAATGACCTCAAAATAGGAGAGGAGTGCAGCTGGCACTGGCCTGGGCGACACTGGTTTTACCCAACTCCAGAGGGGCTAGTTGAGCCGCTGGGGGACTCAGTTCTGGCCAATGAGCGTGAAGAAGTGTCTCCTAGGACTTAGGGGAGAAGTGTTCTTACTCCTGAGAAGACACAAGCAGAGCCAGTGCCTCTTTTTCCTCTGGACTTGGTCCTGCCCGGATGTGAAGCCTGGAATACCAGCAGCCACATTACGACCATGAGGGCGTCAGGCTGAGGTCAGAGCTGACCCAGGAGAGTGGTTCAGCAAAGAAGTAAGAACAGAGGACCCCGGGGAAGCTGCTGAGCGGGTGATGGTGGCTGCCTGGGAACCCACCAAGCCCAGGG